TGTTTTATTTCAAGCCAAGCTAAGCTATGTTATGTATGGTTTTGATAAAGATATACTATGTACTGTTTTGAAAAGATCTCGGGTATCATTCATTTAAAACCATTATTACTTGTACCATTCACTGAGTATCCAAGCTCACCCTCCCTATGTATGTATGTAGGTAACAAGCAAGAAGTCGGCTACGCCGAGATGTATGTTTTGTATGTATGTTATGTCGGCAGTGAGGATGTCGGCAATCTGGAAGATTATGTATCTTGACTTGTAGTTTATGTATTTTGTATATGTCGGCTTGAGAGGCCTTTGAACAAGATGTAATATGTATTTTGCTTACGTTATATTCAAGATGTAAGACCATGTTAAAGATGTATGACATTTCATTTGATCTATGCACTGCTCTTATGGACCACTTGTATTGTAAATTATTGCTTCCGCACTTGTTAGCCCCATATGTAATACTCTGATTGTGTGTGAATTTTGAAAGTTGGCCTTCGGTAATCCCGGATTACTGGCCATCACGGCACCATCCTACTAGTGGCGGTTTGGGGTCGTGACAGAGAACAACCCTTCCGAAATTACTGTTTTAAAATAGTTTTCTAGACAGATTTGAGCGCAGCATTTAATATAGACTTTGACTCCCAAAAATTATGAGAAAATTCAGATATGCAATTCAATATGTAATTAATCTACTGTAAAAATTTCAGTTCAAAATTCATTCGTTTGATATGGTTTCTTGATTTTTAAAATTTGTGATTCCGTGCAGAATTTTTGAACTAAGAATTTCTCCCATTCTTTATACATAAATTTAACTCCTTAGATTTCTTAACAGTATATATATATATATATACACAAATTACATACACCTACAACATCCCCATCAATGAATTAAGTCAAAAAATAGAATAAGGATAAAGAACAAATATAAAATAAAGAAGAAATTAGAACCCTACCACACCCAAAAGTTGTTTGATTGCAACTTCTTCTTCTTTTTTTTCCTTCTCTAAAACTCTCCCGTGGCTGCTCTGTTGTTGCCCTATGTGGTGAACAAATAATAGAGTAGGGTTTGTGTTTATTTTATTTTATACTAATGGTGGGCAGACATAGGTCAAATAAATAGATAAATGTACAAAACTTATATATAAGTTATGTGGAACTCAAATGGTAAGAGTTTTATTTATTAACCTTGTGGTCTAGAGTTCAAGCCACACCCTCCTCTCTCTATATATATATTTATAATAAATCTTACCTCTAAATTAATGACTTTCACCATAAATTTATTTTAGGTTTAAAATTAATTAAAAGATCATTCAATAATAATTAATTTGCACTTTAGGATTCACCATCAAAATATTTGAGATTGTGAAATTATTATTATTTAATTATTTACTTGATTTATATATTCGGGTTCTCACAGATCATCCCTTAACTTGCTCCACCTTAAATGTAAAGTGCCAAGGCCTTGAAAGTAGGCTCCTATTCAATAGCTCATTGAGGTGGTTATTTGCAACTTCTTCTGTTGTCATCCTCTCAGTAACATTCACAAATCCTTTTGCTTTCCAAAGTCCTATTACTTTACTGCACATTATCTGTTGAACCTCAGGGAAGATGCTCGAGTACAAGAAACAAGTCTTCAGATAATCAGGCAGATAGTTGTAACTAAGAGAGAGTGCTTTTTTATACTCTCTAGTCTATGATTGCCCTCTAATTTAGCACCAAGGTTGTGATAAATCATTTCCCATTCGTCTATTCTGCTCTGGTCCTTTATAGCCAAAACACCACTTATCGCTACAATTGCAAGTGGCAATCCATTAAATTTTTTTTAAGAATTTATGGGAAATTTCCTTCAAGTGTGGAGGGCATAAGTTCCCTAAAAAAGTCTTGTTGCAAAAAAGCATCCAAGACTCCTCTGCGGACAAGGGCATCAAGGTGTGGCCATTACCATCAGTTTTATTGCAATAGGTACTAGAAGCTATATCAGATAAACGAGTTGTAAATTGTCATCAGGCAGCATGGATTTGACAGCATCCCAAATATCAACTTTCCAAACATCATCAAAAACAACCACGTACCTCCTTTGTTGCAGAAAATCTTTAACCATACCTTTCAACCTGTTAATGCTTATAGTTTCAACTTCAGAAAGGGCTGGTTGTAGGATTTCAGTGAAGAGTTGTTGAACCATGTCCTTCATGAGATCCTCAATGTTGATTAACTCGAAAACAGTGAGCCAAGCATGGCTGTTAAAATGCTTTTTCACCATTTTATCATCGTAGAATTTTTTAACCAGGGTTGGTTTGCCTAATCTTTCCATTCCCACCACAGAAACTGCTTTCAGCCTATTACCTCCCTCGATTAGCAACCCAATCAGTCATCTTTTGGCCTTTTCGATCCCCACCAGCTTTGTTTCTTCAAGTAGAAACGTATCATCATGACAATCATACCATGGATTATTAACAATAGTGGACCTTGAGCCTTCTGGTATACCATACCTAACTTGGTATCTCTAACGTCCTTGGGAAATATTGACGACCTTGGACTTGATCCTTTGTACCTCAGAAGCAATTTGGTGGCGAGCTTTTAAAGTCTTGACGAAGTAGGGAATCTTACAAAGAAAGCCACGGAATCCATTGCCACGATGATGTGCAATGTGAAGCATGAATTTCTCTTTAACATCTTCAGTGCCATAAGCAGCATCACGAACTTGTTTGACCCAAACTTTGAGTTCTTTGTCATTTTCTTCCTTAGCTTCAGCAACAGTGAGGAAAGTCGACATGTGCTCGAATTCATCTTTGATGTATTCAATCTCTCCCCTAACTTCACTCAACAAATTCATCTCTTGTTGGAGGAAGGGTGCAACAAAGTTGGCTAGTAGATGGAGCACCGCAGATTCAGCCATTTTCTTGTTTTGAGTGTTTGTTTACAGTAGTAGGCTTTGTGTTTGAAGGGATAATTAAGAGGAAATGGTGAGCTGAACTGAGTTTTAAAACTGGGAATTTGTAATGCTCCAAGTCAACTAAGGTTTCTGTGATCTGTGGCAATGCAAGAGTATATGCTTACTATAAAATCTGTTTTCTTTTGAAACAATTATTAGGCAAATTGCTTATGTTTATTTCTTTCATGGAAACTATAGGACTCTTTCCAGGAAGTAACCAGCCACCATTCTGTGATGATTTTGATATTGAATTATTTATAGTCCTAAGTCTTTGTTTGCATGTTACAAATATATATATATATATATATTTTTGTGGTAATCAATGTAGGATGCCCTATAAGTATTTGTTTCAAGTGTGTATGCTCCAGATAGTGATATTTGTTGTTTAAGACTCTGCTTGTTAATTTCAATATATTAATTGTTTCATTATTAGTTATTTCTGGATCTTTTTGTTGCGTTCACTTAAGGCCCTACTCTCATTGTCAATAAGGGATAAAAATTAGGCATTTTTACCAGCCGGTCCCAATAATTAAATCTATAACCCTAGGTCCCAAGTTTCTATCTTATGCACCAGTAAGTCCTGTTATATTGTTTTTATCCTAATTTTCCCCCTATTGTTATACTTCGCGCGTTTGGTTTGAATTTTGTGGTTCTATTTGATTTTTGTAAGCTTTTGGGAGTAGGAACTTGAATATAGAACTGATTCATGAGTGAATGGAACTGATTTACATGGAGATTATCGGTGAGTGAAATCTGTTTATGATTTGGAGTTGAGTTACAATCGATTCGGAGTTTATTGCAGGTGATGATCATGGAGTTTTGTTGCGACTGTAATTTATTTTTGTGATCAGGTTCATGATTTTGTTAGGCTTTTGGTTCGTTTAATTGATATACATATATATATCTGCATATATGCAATTCTATGATTCTACGATTCTTTGATTTTGTTGATTTATCGATATTGGAAACTTTTTGGTTATGTACGTAGAGTTATATACTTTTTGTTTGAGTTTGTGATTTTGATTTGATTTTTGATATTATTGTTATAATGTTGTTGTTTCTGATATTGATTTTTTATTTTGATGATGATATTAAATGTTAGATATTATTGTTCTTTTTATATGTGATGAATATTGAATTTTTTTTGTTGCAAAATTGTTTTGGTTGAACACAATTGCTAGTTTGTTATTTTCTACCGTGATAAAATTTATCAGTGAGAATGGGAATAGAAGATGAAAAAGTTGCATAGTGGTTTAATTGTGTAGGCAAGTTTTGTTATTTTCTATAGTGATAAAATTTATCACTGTTGGTTTTTGGATGTGTTTGAGTTGGTCGATAATTTTATCACTGTATTAGAATTTGTTTTAGTTTGTTTTAGTTGTTTGCTAAAATATAATTTTTATTTGTGACAGGATTTATAATGATGGATACCTCTTTGTTTCTTATGTGCAAGTTTAGAGGTGTGACATTAGTTAAAAAGTATAATGATGGATTTAATTTCAAGTATTTATTATATAAATTGTGTGCAAAGTGGAGTGAGTTAGTTGGTAGTTCTTTGAATATTTTGTATTTAATGTCTGGACATTCTTGTTGTGGCCTTTAAGGTGAAGAGGATTTGGGGAGGTTATGGTTGGACTTGTACTTTCTTGTGATATTCGTCATATTAATGTTTTTGTTAAGTGTTGTTCTTTGGGTGATGGTTATATGATTTGTAATGGTGAAACTACTAGTAGTAGTAGTGTTGTTTGTGAAATTGATGTTTTGCCTTCATTTTATTCAAATCAATAGAAACCTTTGCTCTCTGATGGTTGGGTTAATTGTATGAAAGAAGTGGGACAAAGGTTTGCTCAAGGAGTTGTTGAATTTCAAGATGAGTTGTCAAAGTATTCTATTCATTCCGGTTTTTATTTTGTTAAGAGGATCGTGTCACTGTTCATTGTAAGAGAATGGCTAATTTGGGATGTTTATGGAGCGTGCATGCTAGATTAGAAAATTCTAGTAAAACTTTTGTTATTAAACAATTTGATGATGTTCATACGTGCGAATCTTCTTTTCGAATAGTAAACATGCTAAGATGACTTCGAGTATGATTGGTGGGCTAATTTCAAGTAAGGTTTGTAATAAGCCTTTGACATCAGTTAGTGTGGTGGTTTATGATTTCAAGGATTACAATGGAACAAAAGTTTGTTATTGGCAAGCTTGGATGGGTGCTAAAAAAGCAAGGGGTGCTGTTTTTGGTGACTATTCATCATCATTTGACGATCTTTGTTGGTATGTTGATACCGCTAATGATGCTAATCCGGGGAGTGTTTTTGATATGGAATTTGATGTTGATAGTAAAGGAAGACATTTCAAAAGGTTGTTTTTCGCTTTTGAGGCATGTATTCATGGTTTCAAGTATTGTCAGCCTGTGTTGATACTTAATGGAACTTTCTTGAAAGAAAGACACAAAGGTTGTTTACTGGCTGCTACAGCAAAAGACGATAATCATGGTGTATTTTGTGTCAATTTGTTATTATTTTTAAAACAGTGATAATTTTATCACTTTTGTTATTGGAGAGTGTTGATTATTGAGTATGGTCAATCTATTAGTGATAAATTAATCATTGGTTGGTTGAGTATGCTGTATACTTTTGTTAAATTTTTATATTTATACACTAATAAACTTATTATTGATTGATTATATATGTTGTATGCTGCTGTTGAATTTTTATAGTTATACAATGATAAATTTATCTATGGTTGGTGCTATATATTTTGCACTTTGCTTTTGTTTTGTAATCTTTTTTATTTGTTACTGATAAAGTGTGTATATATATATATACTTGTAGGTTTATATCCATTATGTTTTGCCATTGTTGATAATGAAAGTTACGACAATTGGCATTGGTTCTTGTCAAAGTTATTGGTTATTTTGACTCCGGGAAGGGATATTGCATTTGTGACCAATTGGCGTGGAGGTTTGCTGAAAGCTTTAGCTGGGGTGTTTCCATTTTCTTCTCATTCTTTTTGTCTATGCATTTGAAGACAAACTTGAAGACTTATTTTCTAGTGAAGAGTCATGAATCTAAAGAGTATTTGCTTTTGCTTACTCTTTTTAGTAAATGTGCATATTCTCCTACTATTGAGTTGTTTAATGAGCTATTTGAAGAATTTAAGGGTCGTTGTGGTCGTAGTGTTCATAAGATTCTTGAGGATTTTCCTAATAAGCATTGGTGTAACACTTATTTTCAAGGCAAAAGGTATGGTGAAATGTGCACAAATGCTGTGGAATCTTTTAATTCATGGATTAGGGATGAGTGCCATTTGTTTTCAACTAGTCTTGTTAATGTTGTACGGGTGAAACTAATGGAGCAATTTTCAAATAGGAGAGAAGTTGGGAATAAATGGAATCATATTGTTTGTCCTTTTGTAGAGAAAAAGTTAGAAGAAGCTTTTAATGATACAAAGGCATGGATAGTTAAGAAATGTAGCGATGACATTTATGAAATCCAATTAGATCATTTAGCTACAGTTGATATTGGGAAACGTTCTTGTTCATGTTAATTGTGGGAAATTGATTATTTTCTTTGCAAACATGGTTTTTGTGCGATAAAGATGAGTGGAAAGGATCTGAATTGTTTTCTTACCATGTTCGTAGTTATTGTGATTCGTCTTTTCATTCTATCTATAAAGTTCCTAGTATGTGGAAGCCAAATGTAGTTGTTGATGATGACATTGTTTTACCTCCTCTTTATAACAAACTAGCTGGACGTCCAAGAACAAAGAGAATACCTTCCAAGAACGAAATCAAGAGAATTAGGTGTAGTAGGTGTGGAAAGATGGGAACTCATAATCGGAAGACATGTAAACAAGCTTTGGTTTAGTTGTATGATTTTAATTCAATTACTTTGTTGAAAGTTGAAAGGTGTTAGTTGCGTTGAATGATTGAGAATTTTTTAAAAGATATATCATTTTGATAGTTGCATTGGATGATTGAGGAATTTTTTGAATGGAAATTATATTTTTTGCTCTTATTTTTATAGGATTAAGTTTTACAAATTTATATTCTTTGATTTTTGTTAAATGTAGTTGTTTTTGGTTTTTTCTATAGTGGTAAATTTATCACTGGTTGGTTAGGATGAGTTGATCGATTTTTTTTTTAAGAGTAATAAACTTATCACTGTCTGAATGAAGCAATCAAGCATTAATGGGGTTGCTGAATTTTGTTATTTTCAAGAATGATAAATTTATTGCTGGCTGTATGGGAAGAGTTGATGGTTTTTCTTACATTTATGTTAGTGGCTAATAAATTTATCACTGTTATATCCAACCAAATGTTTTTTTTTACGGTGATAAATTTATCACTGCCTTAAACCCAACACAAATCAATTGTAGGCAACTTGAGGCTAGGTTTCCCAATTTGTCCTACCTAACTGCCACTATAACATTAACTATAAGTGGGATTTTTGAAGCAAAATATTTCGAGTTTGCAATTCATTTTCACTTTAAATTGTTCAAGATTTCAATCTAGGAAATGCTTTAGCCTTGTCATGTTCAGATGCAACAGTCTAAGCCAGTGATAAATTTATTTCCAAACTTGGAAATGTCTACAAACTGTAACAGTGTTTTAATTTCCAATTTGAAAAATGTAACAGTGTTTGTGTTTTAATTTTGAATTTAGGTAAATTTTTTATTTTTTTTATAGTGTTTTGTTTACTTGAATTGGGAAAAAAGAATGAGAGAGAGAGTTGTTGGTTTTTGTTAGTTTGAACAATGATGTTACTGGTTTTTGCTAGTTTGAACAGTGATAAATTTATCAATGTAAAAAAAAAAAAAAAAGTGTCTTGGTAATAATCAATGGATCCAAACATGTTATTAACCTTTAAATTTGACACAAATAATCAGATTATAATAAATATTTTGAATACTTCATTCAAGCATGAATAATAAATCGAAGAGCAAGAGAATTGAAGCAAAGTAATATTCATTCAAGCATGAATAGTAAATTTGACATTGTAACAACCAAGTATTGTAATATTCATTGAAGTAAAGTAAGAACCAAAATGACCAAAATATAGATAACACTCTAACAACCAAACAAGAAAAATATGTGAACTATTCACGTTGCAACAACCAAATTAATCAATGTTTTCTTCTGTTTTTTTCTCTTCCAGATCTGTTGATTATTGTGGAGTCAATTCATTAATATTTTCTTTTGTTTTATCTTCCACATCTGCTAATTCTTGTGGAGGCAAGTCATCAATGTTTTCATCAACTATTTGTTGTAGAGCATTTTGTTTGTCAGTCAAGAAGATAGTTGATATATCAGCTCTCAATTGATTACATTCTTCATCGAAAAAAGTAGGCATTATGTTGTTGTTGGAAACATATTGCCTCATGATATAACAAACAACGATTCCACAATCAAGCCTGCAAAAACATTTTGAGAACAAAATATTTGCATTTGGTTTCATTGCATTTTTTTTTTTAATAAGAGTGCTCTGGTATTGATAAACTTAGGAAGTGTCTCCTTGTTGTGGGGTATTTATGAGACTCACTGTCTGTTGTTGAAATTTATCAGGGGCGATGAGAGTAGGTTGTTCATCCTTTAAGTACTTGTCAATAGTCTTTATCACTGAATTAGGCAAACTATGATGAATTTATCACTCAATTAGCCAAATTAAGCAAATGTATCACTGTATAGCAAATTTTACATTTCAAATTACAAATGAACATGAAGACATCATCATGTGATGAATACGACTGATAATTTTAAATTTATAAAATATGTTATAAATTTAAACAACATAGAAAATATGCTTTTAACTTGAACCTATTCACAATTTATGTATGTTAGAAATGCACATCAAATGAGTGTCCCCTACCATCCCCTTAGGCTCTTAAGGTGACTAAAACTAATGTCACTTATTCTCCAAAAAGTAAATAAAATTTATAATCAATTTGCATTAAAACTTACTGAATTGATTTGAAACCACAGAATGCTAACCGCATTCAATTTACCAACAATCAACTCAACTTCACAACATAAACAAAAATGTATAAATAAATAATTTTCTACTGCAGATGAAATGCCATAAAGATTTATCAGTCAATTAAGTTAAGCAAACAAACAAAGGTTATACACTGAAGATTAAGAAGAATTTATCACTAAAATAGGCAAACTATGAACAATTTATCACTCAATTAGCCAAATTAAACAAATCTATCATTGTATAGCAAAATTTAGATTTCAAATTGCAAAATGAACATAAAGATATTATGATGAAGATGAATATAACTGATAATTTATCATTGCATAATACAGAAAATCAACATACATAGGTTCAAGCCAAATTTTAATTTACGTAATTAGGATTTGTGAAAGAAGAAGAGGAGATGAGTATGAATCACGTTTTATCGACATGATTATCGAAGATCAACTAAACCGGGAGGGAGGAGTATGTCAGAAAATGCCAGATATGTCTTCGAAATCTCGATTTCTTCCGAATCTCGATCAAAACATGGGAGATTCAGAAAGGTTATACAAAGGTTATACACATGAATTAAGTTAAGCAAACAAAGGTTATTTGAAGCACCATTTACATCTAAGATATATTATTATCTTAATAATAGACATTTTGGTGTACAATATGGTTTTATCGTCAACAAGATAGAAATTTTGGTCATTCTATTTTTCGTTCAAACTTATCATAACTTGTTTGTGCTAGTTAAGAAATTTGTTGAAATGTGGTCTAACTGTAGTAAAATAACCTCAATTCTAATACACAAGTTTTGATGAGATTACTAAAACATGTATCTGATAACCATCAAAATTTGAACTAACAAACCACAACTTGAGTGATAAATTTGACTAACTTCTTGTCAAAATTTTCCATTTGCTTTTAACTTGAACCAGTTCACATTTTATGTATTTTAGAAATGCACATCAAATGAGTGTCCTCTACCATCCCCTTAGGGTCCTAACATAACCAAAACTAATATCACTCATTTGAAAAGATAAACAAAGGGTATGCACTGAAGATTAATCTTATTTATCATTGAACTAAGCAAACTATGAAGAAATTATCACTCAATTAGGCAAATTAAGGAAATATATCACTATATAACAAAATTTAGATTGCAAATTGCAAATGAGCATGAAGATATTATGATGAAGATGAATATGACTGATAATTATCATTGTATAATACAGAAAATCAACATGAAGAATTTATCACTGAACTAGGCAAACTATGAAGAATTGATTACTCAATTAGGCAAATTAAGCAAATTTATCACTATATAGCAAAATTTAGATTGCAAATTGCAAATGAACATGAAGATATCATGATGAAGATGAATACGACTGATAAATTCTTCATAGTTTAATACGAAAAATCAACATACATAGATTCAAGTCACGCTTAATTTACATAATTAGGGTTATGAAAGAAGAATAAGAGATGAGTATGAGTCACATTTTATCAAAATGATTATCAAAGATCAACCAAACCAACAGAGATGAGTTTGTTCGAATCTCAATCAAAACGTGGGAGATTTCTTCGAAATTTAGATCAAAACGATGGAGATCTCTTTGAAATTTTGATTTCTACGCAATTTGGATCAAATGTGTGAGAGATCCCTTCAAAATGAAAACGCCAGGGATCTCGTGGATTGTTCAAAATTGGCAAAACCTGTCTAAGAGATGATTGAGAAATCGCATGTCTTTCACGCGCACGTTTGGAGGAGAGAGAAGCTGCAAGCAACGGTGTGTTTTACGCTTGTGATAACCAAGGGTAAAATTGGAAAACAAAAATAGGAGGACTTGATGGGTATTAAGATTGAAAAATGGGACCGGCCAGTAACTTTCCCAAAAAATTATATGACCATAATCTTATTCTTGTGGATTAAGTTAGGCCGGTTTAAAGCCGAAGCGAGTGAAGCTTGCGCTTTAGGCCCACACTTGATAAAAGTCTTAAATAGTATGTGTCATAAAAAGTTTACAATTATTTTAATTAGGTTTGCAATTCTAATCTCCGTTCTCTCTTTGGAACTCATTTCGTTGCCCTAACCATTACAAGCCAGAGAGAAGAGCAACCAAAAAAGATTAACTCACCCATGAGTCACTCTCAATATAAAAAAGATGACAACATCAATTTTCCATCCATACGACTAACGAATTATTGATAGAAAATGAGTTACGTGTTATGTGAATTAAAATATTAAGGAAACTCAATGTAATAATGTCAAAAATATGGGGTTTGTAGTATTTTCTCCTAATATTAGCATAATTTACCTCAAAATAACATTTTATGTTGCCAACAGACATGGTCGGCTCTACCCTTTTCTTTTCTTTTTTTGGAGAACCACAAAAACATACAATATATTAAAAGAAAAGAACAAATTATAGGGAGGGGAGGAAACCTAATACAAACTACAAAAAGCCACAAAAAATGTATGCCACCGTCGTTGCCCAAACTCCACCACTAACGCCACTACACTAGAAGGCTGAAACTCAAGAAACCCACAATAGTAAAGAACCATTGGGGATAATACCAAAAATCTATGTAAAAATCGAAGGGGATATCACTAAACTTCTATTCCTAAAAAAAAAAAGTCCAGATCTACACTTTGGGAGGATAAATCTACACTTTAGAAGGAAAAAGAAAGTCACCAGAGTATCGCTAAAACATCGCCAAAAATCTCCTAGTGAGAGAAGCTCTCGCCTCTCTCTCTATTTGGAACTGGCGACTTTACCCTTTGGGTATGATATGTAATTGAAAATGCTATTTTATTTATTTATTATATATATATATGTTAAAATTGTTCAAAGTCTGAATACTCTATCTCACTCTATTGAGCACCCAACTTACTTGGTTAAACACCAATTCCACTCCATTGAACACCCAACTCATAACCAATTCCACTTCATTGGACACCCAACTCATAACCCTTGAGAACTCATAAAACAAAATTGATGGAATTACTATTTTTTTTCTTACTATAATTTGTTTATTAGCTTATGTGTCAATATCATATTAGTTTAATGTGTATCACAACTTATGTTTGTTACGTATAAGATGATAAATAAAATATGGTAAGAAAATGTGGTCATTAATACTCTTAATATATATATATATATACTGACACCCCAAATGTTTAATTAATTTTAATACCGTGCTAATATATTTTACTTTGCTTCTGCCTGCGTGACTTAATTTGTTAAAATTAAGATTAATTAGCAAATTGCAATTCCAGCCCTAAACACCCAGGATTGGGTCGTGACATATACTAACTAGGGGTGTCTGCCCAACCGATGGTTGTGCTGTTAAATTTGAAAAATATAAATTTTAATTTTGAATTACAATCACACATATTATGTACCGCTCAATTGGTCAGTGTCTTGTCTATCAGACCAATGTTTTGGTTTTGAGTCCTAAATTCCTCTCTACATAATTTTGTATTTTAAATAGGTTAGAAAGACATTTTTGAAAATCGATATTTTGTGTCAATACTTTTGTATTTTAAAAAGGCTAAAAGGGAATTTTTGAAAATTAACATCGTGACATTTTTGTGTCGACACCACCTCAAAGCTTTTCTTTATATAAAGATTCGTCTTTGTTTTTTTTTCTTTTTATTATTGTCTCTAGTATATAAATTTTTTAAACAATAATCCAATGTAAAATATATATCCGTAAATTTTAGTTATTGTCTCAAATCTGATACCTATTTTGTTCACAATTTATTAACAAATCAAAAAAATATTTTATAACTTATTGCACAAATTAACCAAAGAGAAACCAGACTTTGCGGGGAAAAAAAAAAAAGTCTCATTTTATCATGCTAATGATAAATACAAAATATATTTATATAAAAGTTTTCTTATCCACATTTTAATTTTTGAAAAAATGATATCAATATATATATATATATATATATTTTTGTGATTTGAAAAGTCTAAATTAATAGATTCATAAAGTTTAAATTTTTAAATGTCTCGTAAAAAAAAATTCTGGAGTCAAATAAATAAGTAAAATAGAGTGCAATCAATTGCTCTTATCAATTATCATCTACACCAAAAATAAAACAAATCATCTACATAATATGTAATAAAATTGAGAAAAAGGAAAAAGAAATAAATACTTATTACTGATCCAATCTAGAGAGAGCTCTTCTCTTTCCTTCTTTCACTCTTCATAGGAACTTTATTTTCCTGTGACCATGTTCTAAGTACGCAATTTGAACTTCAGGGATGTGTGCTATTTTACAATAATCCCCATCTTGTACATCTCGATCCAATTTTGAAATCAGTTTCTGAGACATTGCAAAAAGCCCAAATGTTTGAAGGTTGGTCAGATGTTTAATGCCTGAAGGGACCTCCTCCATCAATTCACTATTCACGATAATTAGAGTTTCAAGGTGGGGCATTGCTTCCTCCCCAGCTCTTTTACTATACTAATCCCACATCCACTTCTTTGGTCTGCCTCTATCAGGGATAGCACTTGTAGCGATTGCAAGCTTCCTATTTGAGATGGAGCTTTAAAGCCACTCACATCTCCAAATTCAAAATAAATGCTTCCTGATTTAAAATGAAATGATAGGAGAGTGTGCAATCTCTGAAGGCGTAGGATTTCATCAGGAAGCTTAGTCACATAGGTTCCTTGTAGATATAAGGTCTCCAAGTTCTCAAGCTTAGTCACATTTGAACTTTGGGACCATCTTCACTTTTGTATTCCTCAAACCTAGGTACCTGAGAATGGATTAGTTTAAAAACTTCATCTAGTATAGTCTCCAATGGAGTACCTCCCAAATCTAACACATTTAGCAGCCTCGAACCACTTCTAAACAACTCATGCAAGGATGCAATAGGCAATGAATCCATCGGCCCCCACACAAACAGAGAATGAAGTCGAGAAGAACGCTCACTATATTCCATATTATCCAAGGTGCTTCGGATCAATAGGCAGCGGACCTTCTCCGGCCACCTTGAACCCTGTCTGCAAATTGTTGTTACAATGTTTTGCTCTCTCACCTTTGAAACAATAATTTCACGCATCAGATCGTGAATACGAAATTTAGAAGGCCTTCCATTTGGATGTCTATTTGCCACTTGAATCAGGCTCCTATTGAATAGCTCATCGAGGTAGCCATTTGTAACTTCTTTTATTGTCTTCCCCTCAATACCATTCACAAACCCTTCTTCTGTCCAAAGTTGAATTACTCTTCTGTATGATGTCTGTTGATCCTCTAGGAAAATGCTCAAGTATAAGAAACAAATCTTTAGATAATAAGGCAGATAATTATAACTGAGAAAGAGTGCTTTTTTCATCCTCTCTAGTTTGTCATTGCCCTCTAATTCAGCACCAAGGCTACGATAAAGCATTTCTCATTCATCCATTCTGCTTTTGTCCTTTGTATCCAAAAGACCACTTATCGCTACAATTGCAAGTGGCAATCCCTCGCATCTTTTTAAGATTCGATGAGAAATTTGCTTCAAGTTTGGAGGGCATAAGTTCCCCCGAAAAGTCTTGTTGCAAAACAGCGTCCAAGACTCCTCTTGGGACAACAGTATCAAGGTATAAACATGACCATCAGTTTCTTCGCAACAGGTAGAAGCTATATGGGCGAAACGAGTAGTGAGAATGACACGGCTACCACAATTGTAGTCAGACAGCACATGTTTGATAGCCTCCCAAGCATTGACATTCCAAACATCATCGAAAACAACCACGTACCTCATTTGCTGCAAAAAATCATTAGCCAGACATTTTAGCCTATTGATGCTCATAGTTTTAACTCCAACAGGGACTGGTTGCATGATTTCATGGAACAATTGTCGAATCATGTTGTCATGACCCGAACCCGCCCCTATGGGTTAAGGACATAACCGGCCAGTAATCCTGAGATTACCTACGGCCTCAGACTAAAACAGACATAACTCATCAGAGTAAAGGGGCCAAACGGAAGCAATAATTAAAAACTTTGTCCATAGAGCCGTGCTTATATGCGCATCAAACAAACCATACGCGTATATGTTAATAACCCACAACAAAATACAGTACCATAAAATCCTTTACAGACAGGATCATCCAAACTGAGTCAACCTATAACAAAACTATATACAGGTGTGCATAAAGTCCTTGCCAACAAGAGAAACTATAAATGCATAACAAAATGGCAAGAATGGGTCTCGTGTGTGAGACACCAGGTTGACTCTCCAAAACTCATGTTGTTCCTGGCAGACTTCACTGGGGCTGGGTTTGGACTTCTCTTGGCTCACCTACAAACACATGAATGAGCGTGAGTAATAGCCCAGTGAATAATATCAAATATAGAAATTACATAACAATGTAGAACAACATGTTCCAAACGGCCTTTGGCCCAATTCACATTTCTACTTAACATGTCTATATGCTTATACAAAATTTAGATCAAGTGACTGTAGTTCCAACATACTGGCCTTTGGCCCATTCAGGTTTCCATTCCTGTCAAAACGGCCTTCGGCCCATTCATTTATGTCAAAACGGCCTTCGGCCCATCCAATTATGTCAAAACGGCCTTCGGCCCATTCATTTCTGTCAAAATGGCCTTTGGCCCATTCATTCAAGTCAAAACGGCCTTCGGCCCACTCATTCATGTCAGAACGACCTTCGGTCCATTCATATAGGTCAAAACGACCTTCGGTCCGTTCATTTATATCAAACGACCTTTGGTCCATTCATTTACATCAAAACGACCTTCGGTCCATTCATTCCTATCAAAACGACCTTTGGTCCATTCATTTACATCAAAACGACCTTCGGTCCATTCATTCATTCCTGTCAAACTTTCGTCCACAATCCCAATTAACAACTCATAAAGTTTATAAGGGAATAAACAATTGGACATTGACAAGCTTTCAAATATTGATATTACTCACAGTGATCGGCTTGTGGATTCGCCCTGGAGCTTGACCCTACACATTCCATGAACACAGAAGGGTCATTAACAATTCAATCCGTTCCTTAATTCACATATTCCTCTTTAGGCTTTATTCCTATCTCATTAACTCATTTGTAACGCTTAACACATGCCTAAGAGTGATTACAAGTGAAAGAGAATGGAAAACGAAACACAGGATGCATGAACAAAATTTCAGAAAATAGGGTCCCCGCTCGAGCGTGTACTTACCCGCTCGAGCGGACCCTTAAGGCCTGCAAAAGTACTGGTTGCATGAAAAATGCGCTCGAGCGTGGAATAGAGCGCTCGAGCTGAAGGCCTGTCTACAAAAACTCCACGCTCGAGCGTGAGGTGTCCCGCTCGAGCAGACATCCAACTCTGCAAAAGTGCTGGGAGCATGATTTTCCCGCTCGAGCGGCCATTACCCCGCTCGAGCAGACATCAAAATTCTGGGTTTCCCAGATTTTGTTCTTGAGCTCCAAATCAATTTTTCTAGCTACATTACTTGCATGCAATGGCTCAAATCTCAACATGGCACCAATGCAAGATTATAACATTATGGAGCTCAATTTCTTGATTTATCTACATGCATATAACAAACTCAACACCAACATAACAAACTCATGCATTCAAGCTCATAACTTCTCAAATTTTTCATGCATGTGATGAATTAGCCACACTCTCAACTTAGATAACACAAATGGTGATCAAGGCATGAGTTTCCTTTACCATTTCACATGGATTATACACATTTGTGTTCAAACATGCAATATCAAGGTGATTTCCTACATGTATGCACATATTAAGCTTTAATTCAACAAATATAACTCAATCCCTTCACATTCAAACTAATTCATGCTCTTGGCCATCCATTAAACTTGAATTCACAAGATGATGACTAAAAATGCATGAACTACTCACCAAAGAGTTTAATTTTCACAAACTATGGCAATTCTTGAGCTTAACCTCCAAAATTTCTAAGCTTTAAGCCAACCCTCAATCTCCTATTCTCCCTTCTTCCAACCGACCCCCCTCTTCTCCTTAGAATGTATATCAGCCAAAAATGAGAATTAAGAGGGAGTTTGAGTGTATAAAGCCTTGACAACAAAACCCACTAAGGCAAATATTATAATAATAAAGTAGTTAGGCTCTAACTCATCAATTTAATCGGTTTAATCTAACCCGAATAAATTTTCAATTAAATTTCACCGTAGGCTCTAAAAACTATGCCAATCACAATGGCGTAATCAATTTCGGGTTTTGTGGCCGATAAGGCCCTCAATTTAATTTCCAAAGTAGATTATTCCAACAGATATTCCTACGGTGAACAGATAACCCTCAAAATCACATACATTCTCATAATGACACATAAAATCATGCTAATCACATACTCATATTCAAATTAAGGACCAATTTAGTATATTACGGAACAGGGATATCACACATGTCCTTCAGAAGATCCTCAACCCCGAATGACTCCAAAACAGTGAGCCAAGCATGGCTGTTAAAATGCTTCTTCACGGCTGCAGCATCGTAGACTTTTTTAACAAGAGTTGTTTTGCCTAAGCCCCCCGTTCCCACCACAGAAATCGCTTTCAACCCCAAACCTCCTTGGACAAGCCACTCCATCAGTTGTCTTTTGGGAATTTCAATGCCCACTAGCTTTGCTTCTTAGATTAGAAGTGCATCGCCACGACAATCAGACCATGAATTGTTAACAACAGTGGACCTTAAGCCCTGCTCTAGTATACCATATCTATCATGGTATCTTTTACATCCCTCAGAAATATTGATGACCCTGGACTTGATTCTTTGTATTTCAGAAGCAATTTGGTGGCGAGCTTTTAAAGTCTTGGCGAAGTTGAAAACCTTACGAAGAAAACCTTCGAATCCATTGTCGCGATGATGTACAAGGTGAAGCTTGAATTTGTCAAGAACATCTTCAGTGTCATAAGCAGCATCTTGGACTTGTTTGATCCAAACTTTGAGTTCAGGATCACTTTCTTCCTTAGTATCAGCAACTTTGAGGAAAGCTGACATGCGCTCGAATTCATCTCTAATGTCTTCCATCTCTTCCCGAACTCCGCTCAGCAAATTGACCTCTCCCTAAAGGAAGGGTGCAAAGTTGGCTAGTAGATGGAGCACCGCAAATTCGGCCATTTTCTTGTTTGAAGTGTTTCTGTGCAGTAGTAGGCTTTGTTTTTGACGGGATAATTAAGAGGAAATGGTGAGCTGAACTAACATTTAAAACTGGGAATTTGTAATGCTCTAAGTCAACTGAGGTTTTGTGGCAATTCAAGAGTATATGCTTGATATACAATTTGTTATATATATTTGGAACAATTATTAGGCAACTTGCTTTTGCTATGCAACTACTGGACTTTCCAAGAAGTGACCAACCACCATTTTGTGATGATTTTGGTATTGAATTATTGATAGTCCTAAGTCTTTGTTTGCGCGTTACAAGTGTGAATGCTTCAGGTGGTGACATTTGTTATTCAAGACATTGTTTGGATGCCCTGTAAGTCTTTGTTTCAAGTGTGAATGCTCCAGGTGATGACATTTGTTGTTTAAGACTTTGTTTGTTTTAATGTCAATATATGAATTGTTTTATTATTAGTTATTTCCAGGTCTTTTTGTTGCATTCACTTAGGGCACTACTCTCATTGTCTGTCTATAATCTCATTCTTCTTGTTTAAATCAGGGCTGGCTTAAAGCCTATGCGAGTGAAGCTTGCACTTTAGGCCCCCACTTGAAGATCCCATTTTCTCAAAATTACACAAGACGTCCATTGAAAAGTAATAAGATAATTTTATTTTTTAATTTTATTGAAGAGTGCTCTAAATTCATTTATTAACTCTTTTGAAATGGTCGTCTATTTTTTAAAAAAGTATGTGTTATAAAAAATGTACAATTATTTTAAATTGAGAAAGATGATATGTTATTGGATTTTTTTCACTGGATTGCATCACCACTTATATGGACATTTATGATTGATTTTCTTATTTAGAGATATAATAATTAAGGAATTAATAAAAATAATATACCGAGTGATATAATGGTGACAAAATAATGTGATATATAGGCATTGGTGACTCGAGGAATTTTTTTCAAAGTGTTCACAATGGGTAGTCCACAAATTAGGGTAGACATTCAAAATTTTAATTTTTTTAGACTTTTCAAAACATACACAAATAAATAAATAAAATAAAATTCTAATATATTGATATCATTGTTTCAAAAAATAAAATGTAGATACAAAAATTTACATAAATATATTTTATTTTTATCACTCACATGATAAAAAAAAAGAATAAAAAAAAAAAGCTCCTTTAATACAAATTGAGATCAGCTATAAAAACTACTTATCAACATTAACATTCAAGTGGTACACTTGTTGAGGGTTGCAAAATCACACAATTTTGTCAAAGAGGTACTTTACACAGGCTGAGGAAGCATATAGCGATCCCGGTTGTTCTTTTACTGTTCTGTTGTGTTCTGGACTCGGTTCCGTGGTGTTGGTAGTTGTATCTATCTTGTTGTCATCCTTTAATTCCATTCGTTTGAGTTTTAGGATGTGTGGGGCTTGTTTCGAATAGGTGGGCTGAACCTTGGTCTAAAAATCTTGTTGCCAGATTTTTGGTCGTTCCGCTCGAGCGGGCCTTGTTATGCTCAAGCGGAGATTGCACACTCCCAGTTTTTCGTGTCCCTGCAAAACTTCTGCAGGTGTGATTTTTACGCTCAAGCGGGTTTCTTTACGCTCGAGCGGTAGCGCTCGAGCGGGTACTCTGGCGCTCGAGCGGGTAGTACTTTTTGGTGTAAGTTCTGGGAGGGAGAAATCTACGCTCGAGCGAACTGGTTTTCGCGCTCGAGCGGATGTACTTTATTCTTGTGTCTTGGCACTCGAGCGGGCCTTCTTGCGCTCGAGCGTACCTAGTTTTTTGTTCTTTACGCTCGAGTGTTGTGTTCTCCGCTCGAGCGGGAATGTCGTATATCAGTTGGCAGCTGGCATTTTAAAATCAATTTTTACATTCTCTCTCTCTCTCTCTTACTTTCTAAAAAGCTATTTTGAGAGCTTCTCTCTCTAGAAACCCTCTTCTCTCTAGGGTTTGATCTAGTTAGAGTGTCTCTCTATCCTCCGGTCTTTGTAAAAACGGTGTTGATCGTCAAGGACTTCGTTTTGATCCGGGAATCGTGGTGTTTGGAGCATTTTCACTTTCTCTTCCTTCTTCGTTTGAGCTCTAACTTCGAGGTAGGGATATCCTACTCCTTCTCATGTGTTTTGTCTTTAAATTTTAGCATTTTGATGAGTTGGGGGCTGTTGGGTAATTTTAAGAAAGTTTGGGCCTTTGTGTAATTTTACAAAAGTTAGGGTTTTGTTTATATAAAGGTATATGCATGTTTGGCATAGAGAAATGAGATTAATATTGGCCTATTGGTAAAAAAATGGAACCTTAGGGTTGTGATGTTAATTATGGGAAATGCTCTAATTACATTGACGAATTAATTGGTATAATTAATTTTGAAGAAAAGAGGAATTAAGTTGAGAATGTTGGAATTGGAGGTGTATGGGATTAAAGGGTGTAGTTAGATTTGTTTATCGCTCACCTAGTTTAAATGTTGATTATATATCCATTTGGTGCATTTATTTTCAGTATAGAAATAACTGCTTTGGGCTATCGGTGGAGGATAGTCTTGATTGTTGTAGACACTGCATGATGATTAGGCAAACTAAAACTGATCGATTGTGTATGCTATTGAATATAGCAAGTGGAATAATACATAAATTCTATGTATTGATTGATTGTATATGATCTATGTTTATATACATGTGTTGTGTAGGAGGAGATGGGGGATGTACTCCATGGTTTAGGAGAAGATAGGGGATGGACCTCTAAACCGGATTTTGTGTGACAGTGATACAGCACTACAATGTGTATCAGGCTGCGAATTAGAAGTGTTTTGTTTCATTAATACAGCACTACAATGTGTATTATTTGAGACTTATGGAAGTGTCTGAATTGATTTGATATAGCACTAAAATGTATATCGTTATCAATTGTAAAGTATAGCAGTGAATCTATGTAATGTTGATACAGCATTAAAATGTGTATCCTTCATGAATTTTGAAAGTGTTTTAAAGATGAGTCTAAATCTCATTAAGTTGTTTGGCTAGGTGTTGACCCTTGTTTTCAAACTCAAAGTTGGAAAAGACATGGAAATGAAATGTAACATGGACTTAACGTCATGAAATCAAAATGTGATATAAGTGGATGTATCTGTGTTGACCATCTATCAATTGCTAATCTTTTTGTCATTGTTCATGGCTGGTTTAGTGTATTTCTGCTGGGCTGTGGCTCACCCTTTATGGGACATCATTTTCAGGTACTGGTAGCATGCCACCTCCAAGGACGTAACTTGGGAGGCTAAAGGCAGACAGATTGTTTTGTTTACTTTCTTTTGATGTATTACATGTAAATTCAAGCCAAGGGCTTAATATGTATTGAGTTAGCACTCTTCTTTTTGTAACCAAGTGTTAACTTGGAAAGCTGTAAGCCCGTAGGGCATTTGCTTTTGTTGTTAACATGTAATACTTTTGTAAGGATCTACTCTGATGAATAGAAGAATGTTTATTTCTTATATCAATGCATGTCTGAATGGATGGGATTAATGCTATTTTTTTTGAGGGCGTTACAAAGCAAAACATGTTGTGTGTTCACTTCACAAAGCACGTATATTGATTAAAGGTTATGGGCTGTGCTAGGTTGGGTTGGTTGCATAAGAAAGTGGGCGGGGATGGGTATTCAAATGAGTTGGGTGTTTAGAAAAGTGGATTAAAGTGTTTCACATAAAGCTTTGGGTTGAATTACACACATATATATAAATAAATAAATTCTAGGGTGTTCAATTGAACACCCACCCTTACATGTAGAGTTGCCCGTATAATAGGGGTCATGTTTTAAATTTTCTTAACTAATGTTATTAAGACACTCATTAATAAGACTTTTTTATTTTTTACAAAAAAGACATCCACACAACAACAAAAAAATATAAATAAATTCTACTCATAACCATAATACGAGTTCCACAGATTTAGAAAATGCCTTTGTGGATTAGTTTATATATGTAAAGTACCTATTCTATTTTTTAAAAGTTCAAATTATTAAAAAAAAAATCCACATATTTTAAAAAATATCCCGTCTATAATTGTAAAAGGATTCACTTTCATATTAAAAATAAAATAAATAAAATAAATAAATAACTCCACCAATTTAGAATAGGTTGAGATGAGATTTATGGTCTTCAATTTTTTTTCTCCCTAGCACAGACTTCATTTTAAATGTGTAAAGCTCTAATTACATGATAACTTATAGCAATTTTCATTTCTTTCTGTTTTATAACCCTTACAAAAATTTAAATAAAAATAAAAATAAAGAACTTCAAGATTAATAATATTATTTGAATTTATATTTATATATTAAAAGCTTCCTAAGAACATTTCACTTTAGGCCACATTGAGTGGTAAGCCGACCATAATTTACGTGATTCTTTATAACCCCTTCTTTTTATGAGATCCGTAAATGTAATGTTATATAAATTAACTTTTTAAAATTTTTCTTACTCAATCG